GGCTTCTGGTGGAGTCTGTCAGGTTTTCTATGTAGAGTATCATGTCGGAATATTTTTTAGAATTCCATTTTAATTTTCTTATAGTCTTTTTAGTTATACTTCTTTACATAATTTTTCATGGGGATTATAGTATACAACTTTACCTGCTCCCAGCTTACATCCAGTAAACACTGTAACACTTCACATAAGATGTAGAACCTATGTGACCATATAAGTCCCTGGCCTGCTCCACTGTGTTCTTTATACTGTGGGTATTATATGGATTATACTGACCTTAGTTATAAACTCCACAAAACAGTGCTATCACTTTTTTGCTTTAAGTGTCTGTAAATAAATTGAGAAGAGAAAAACCAAAAATAATAGACTCTTGTATTTTTTCAGCTATTTACCATTTTTTGAATGTTTATTTATTTTTGAGACAGAGAGAGACAGAGCACGAGCTGAGGAGGGGGAGAGACAGACACACACACAGAATCTGAAACAGGCTGCAGGCTTTGAGCTGACAGCACAGTGCCCGAAGTGGGGCTCAAATCCACAGACTGTGAGATCATGACCTGAGCCAAAGTTGGACGCTTAACCGACTGAGCCACCCAGGTGCCCCAAATATTTACCATTTCTGACACTTTCCTCATTCTTTTCTGAAGCGTTGAGGTCTCCATCTGATATCACTTCCCAGTAGCCCAAAGAACTTCTTTATTGAGGCACCGGTGTGCTAAAGATGGATTCCATTAGCTTTCTTTTATTTAGAAATGGTTTGGGGCATCTAGGTGGCTCAGTTGGTTAAGCATCTGACTTCAGCTCAGGTCATCATCTCACGATTTGTGAGTTTCAGCCCCTTGTTGGACTCTGTGCTGAAGGCTTGGAACCTGGAGTCTGCTTCAGATACTGTGTCTCCCTCTCTCTCTGTCCCTTCCCCACTTGTGTTCTCTCTCTCTCAGAAATAAATAAACATAAGAAAATTTTTTAAATTAGAAATGTTTTCATGTACCCTTCATTTTTGAAGGACATTTTCTTAGATGAAAAAGTCTTGGGTAAGTTCTTTCTCTTTCAGCCCTTCATGATGTTGTTCCACTTCTTTTGGCTTCCATGATTTTGGATGAGAAGTCATCTGTTAAAATGTCCTCCTGAATGTAATGAGTAATTTTTCTCTTTTGTATTCAAAATTTGCTCTTTGAATTTGACCTTGTAATGTGCCTTGGCACAGCCTTGTCCATGTGTATTCTACTTGGTGTTTGTTCAGCATCTTAATCTGTAAGTGGATATCTTTAATCAAATTTGGGGAAATTTTGGCCTGTCCTCAAGTATTCTTTTCTGCCCTGTTCTTTCTCTCCTCTCCTTATGTGATTCCAGTTGTATGTATGTCAGACTTTTCTCCCTAGTAATGTCCCATCTTCCTGTTTTTTTTTAAATACGCTGTATAATTTTATATTCTGTCCTCAACATTTCGAATATCAAATCATGAAGACTCTAAATTTTGTTGTTACTAGTTTTTCAATGAATATTATTTCTTTCATTTTCACAAGGTAGTTGTCTTGGTTGGACTAAAACTTAATACTCTGTTTCTTGGGTGGCAGCTCTGATCTTAGTTCATATCTTTTGTGTTTAGCTAAGCTGTTTTGAGTAGGTTCTGATCGTGTGAGATTCAAAGCCAGTCAGAAATGTGGTAGGACAGAGCTTAGGGGGTCCCTCTTTGGCTCTTCCAGGATTTTAACTTTCTCTCTAGGGGTTTTGGCTCACCTGGGCTTTGTCTTCTAGTTTTCTAGGTCATAAGGCTACTTTTTTTTTTTTTTTTACCAGTACCCTTGCCACCTCTCATGGCTATAGCACCTAGCACCAGGCTGAAAGCATGGAACATCCTCTTTACAACTATACCCCTCTCAGCATGGACTCCCAACCAGAGTGTGCCCATTTATGTTCACCCTGTAGTGCTTTTAGGTAACCGCTTTTGGTATTATGCCCAGAGTTTATTGTGACTGTCTGCAGGAGGATTCGTCTGGTAGGATCGTACTCCCCCAAAACTGGAAGAAGAAATCAAGTTTTAGTATTTTTATATTAATTTGTATAAGTGCTTTATGTTTTAAGAAAATCACCTCTATGTTATGCATATTTAAATTAGATAACTTTATAAGTCTGTTTTTTGGCTTTATTTTTTAAGGAGGTGTGGAGCCCAACACGGGGCTTGAACCTATGACCATGAGGTCAAGAACTGAGCTGAGATTAAGAGCCAGATGCTCAACTGACTGAGCCACCTGGGTTTTGGCTCTTAAATTTTGTTTCAATATTTCTAGTGTACAGAAATTTTTTTTTAAATTTTTTTAAATGTTTTATTTATTTCTAGGAGAGAGAGAGAGAGAGACAGCGTGAGCAGGGGAGAGTCAGAGAGAGAGGGAGTCACAGACTGAAACAGGCTCCAGGCTCTCAGCTGGCAGTCAGCACATAGCCCGAAGCGGGGCTCGAACCCACGAACCGCGAGATCATGACCTAAGTGAAAGTCGGACGCTTAACCGACTAAGCCACCCAGGCGCCCCTCTATTGTACAGAAATTTTTTATGTTAACTTCATTAAATAGGGAAGTTTGTGATTTCCCGTCTTAAATATTGCTTAAAAACCCATTCTTATTCAAATACTAGATGAATATAGACCTAGATTTTCCTTTGTTAGTGGTTTTTATTTTTACATTTCACTTCCTCACCTATTTTGAATTAATTTTAGTATAGGGGATGGGCTGAAGATCTAATATGATGTTTTTTCCAAAGAGCAAGTAATATCCTAAACATAGCATATGAAGCTGATTCTGTGTTTAACAGGAGACCCAGTGTTTCCATTATAGAAAATTAATTAAAAATTTTTTTTAATGTTTTATTTCTGAAAGAGAGAGAGAGCGTGAGCAGGGGAGGGTCAGAGAGAGAGGGAGACACAGAATCCGAAGCAGGCTCCAGCTCTGAGCTGTCAGCACAGAGCACGATGAGGGGCCCGAACCCACGAACCACAAGATCATGACCTGAGCTGAAGTCGGACGCTTAACCGACTGAGCCTCCCAGGCACCCCAGAAAATTAATTTCTAACTTGCTAAAATCTAAGGTGGAAATATATAGCATTAACAAACTCTATCAAAATTGTGAGCAACGTGGGGAAGGAAGGCCAAGAATGAAAGGTAAAACTGTTTTGTATGTGAACAGCAAGGCATTAGACCACTGTCACCGTCTCCTTAGATGTTGTCATGTATACCTAATGAAAATCAGTCAATCAATGTGTCTCATTCTCACGAGCACATATATGGTGCTCACAGCAGAAGCATAAGTAATAACCATTTTTCAAGTATTAGGTGCTATAATCATAATCATGGCCAAAGTGCTCTGCTATATAAATGCTATATAAATATAAATGCTAGTAATACTCATTCTTAGCAATGAATGCTAACAATATTAATCCATAGTGACAGATGCTAATCATATTAATCCTTCATGATAAATGCTATAAGGGAAGGAGGCATAGTGCTATGGGACAGGCTAACAGGGCAAATAGCCTTGGTTATGGACATCGGAAAAGGCTTCCTTGAGAACGTAATGATTCAGTTGAGCTTGAAAGAGGAGTAGAATTAGTTAAGAATGGGACATATCATGGGGAGTGTGGCATTTGGGAAAGGAAGCAGCAAACATAAGGGACTAGGGCAAGGAAGAGCATAACCCTGAGCTGAAGAGCTGGAGCACTCCGTGTGTGTTTGTGCATAGACACATGCATGCTGATACGTTCTCCCGTGGCCCACATCTGATCCCCAGGAAACCAGTTCCCTTACAGCCACTAGTTTCAGCTGTCAAAAAGGCAGTCTGTCTTGTGACGACCCTCACTTTTGCATCTTGTGTCTGTTGTTTAAGGATCTTAGCCCAAATTCTTTTTGCCCCCCTGTTATGGAAGTGTGGGTGACACTTAGTGGGTAGGTCACATGGGCAGTGGGAGGTGGGGTATGTAATTGAACACTTGCTGGTGATCTAGTACTGCAGTGGGGGCTTTGAGATCAGTAGCTTTAATCCTTAGAACCCCCCTCCCCCACCCCTGCCAGTGGAGGATATTATAGATGAGAAAAGTAGAAAATTGTGAGCAGTGTGTCAGAGGCCGCACGGGCAAGGAGGGAAGGAGCCTGGACCTGCCGCCTGGTCCGTCTGTGTCCCCAGCAGGCTGCTCCTGCGGGCACCTTGCCGTTCCGACATCCCTGGGCCCAGGTTGTGGGGCCATGTTAGCTTTGGCCATTTGCTTTTCAACAATTTTCCAGCTACTTATTCCTGCTGTGATTCACATCTGTACTCGTTTTTGGTTGGTGCCATGACAAAGCCGCTCAGGCCGAGGGGAGAAATGGAGTCTGTTTCTTGCCTCTGTCGCCTTCTAGAGGCACCTGCGTTCCTGGGCGCGTGGCCCTTCCTGCGTCTCCACTCACCTCCTTGGCCCTTCTCCTGTACTCACATCTTTTCTGGCCACAGCCGGGAGAAGCTCTCTGATACGAAGAACTCCTGTGATTAGATCAGCGCCCCTGGATTCCTGGTTAGCCCGGGTCCCCTCCCATCGCTGCACCCTTAATCACACCCATACAGTCCCTTTGTGCCACCCTAGACGACATTCATGGATCGCAGGGATTTGGAAGTGGACGTGTCCTGAGCCTTTACTCTGTCTCCCACGGTGACTAAGCTCTCCAAACAGTGACTCCGAAAGAATGATCTTGTGGACGTGAGAATTTTAATCAAATTCCTTTGTTTCCTCCTTCAACTGAATGCTACCTACCGCTAAGGGAGTAGAGAAACAAGGAGATGTAGAATCAGTTTGATTTTCCTTGCTTTTTTAAGAGTCAGTTAGTGGTATTATTTTACTAAATTATCTTTTTGTTTAGCTTCGATTTGAAACTTCATATACATTCATTGCTGCACTCTTCAGTTCAATATTAAACACTTAATCCATGAAGCATTATAGGAAAAATATTTTAAAAGTATTTTGATTTTTTTTAAATCCAGATTTGGACTTAAAGCCACCACTAAAGTCAACTGGAAACGATTCATAACCTCACTTTATGAGTCACAGTGGGTGGAGGCCATCAATACAGTCCCCCAGACCAAAAGAAACAGGTATGTGAAAAAAAAAAAAGAACTAAATTTTAGTTACACCTATTATCATCTGGAAAAGGTTAGAGAATATCTGAATTACTTTTTCTTCATGTTTTAAATGACAAATCAGTCTTCATTGGATAATTATGAACTCTATCTTGTGATTTACCATTCATCAATTATTTCCCATACAGTATTCTTATTTAAAATGGCCTTAAACTATAAGATGGGTATAATTATTATTTCTGTTTCTAGATGAAAACTTAAGAGTATGAGTATTAACTAGATCTTCTGCTTAGTGAGTGGAGGAGGCAGAAACGGAGATTGAATGTTGTATGTACGCACATCAACACTGCTAGCATTACACTGTGCTTTGAGTGTATTCTTGGGAAATTGTGTGTAAGCATGTTTTGTTAAGTGTTATCCAGAAAGGAGCAATCCACATTTGTTTCCCGACCCTGCTCTGCCTGGTGCAGATATCGTGGGTCAGGGGAATTATTCGCCTTGAGCGCCATTATTTCTGTTTTCATTCTAATGTCTATTCTAACTTCAGATTTACATTATCATATAAATTGCGTTGGGGCCCAAAATGTAAAAAAAGTACTTAATAATATGACATTTTAGAATTTAAGCTTTTGCTCTAAGAAGTATTTTATTTATGTTGACATGTACCCTGTATCGATCGCCCTCTATAAATCTTAAAGAAAAAACCAGGCTTCATAATCTCAGCACATTCACTGAGAGCACTATGCTCTATCGTAAAGTAAAATATGAGAAAAATAGAGCATCAGAATAGTGAGCAGTATGTCAGAGGCCGCATGGGCAAGGAGGGAAGGAGCCTGGACCTGCTGCCTGGTCCGTGTGCATCCCCAGCAGGCTGCTCCCACGGGCACCTTGCCATTCCGACATCCCTGGGCCCAGGTCGTGGGGCTGCTGAGCTGATTCCCATTTCACTAGGTCCTCTCCCTGTCTCAGAGATTTATGAATATTGGGTGAACTGCCCTGGCATGTAGAGATTTCTACTGGCCTTCCACGTAGAGATCCCTCCCCCACCCCTCCACCCCTGACTCCATTCCTGGGATGCAACTCTGCTTATTTCTTAAGTGAAGTTACTTTTGTTTTTTATGATTTTCTTTTTTTTTTTTAATTTTTTTTTATGTTTTTTTAAATTTATTTCTAGGAGAGAGAGAGAGAGAGACAGCGTGAGCAGGGGAGGGTCAGAGAGAGAGGGAGTCACAGACTGAAACAGGCTCCAGGCTCTGAGCTGGCAGTCAGCACAGAGCCCGACGCGGGGCTCGAACCCACGAACCGCGAGATCATGACCTAAGCGAAAGTCGGACGCTTAACCGACTAAGCCACCCAGGCGCCCCGTGTTTTTTATGATTTTCTTATCTGAAAGACAGGAAAGAATTAAAATGTGAGTTTCATTTACTTTAAAACAGTGATTTTCAGGGCCCCTGGGTGACTCTGTTGGTTAAGTGTCCACCTCTTGATTTCAGCTCGGGTCATGATCTCAAGGTCATGAGATCAAGCCCCACATCATGTTCTGAGCCGATAGCCTGCTTAGGATTTTCTCTCTCTCTCTGCCTTTCTCTCTGTCTCTGCCTCTCTCTCAAAATAAAGTTTAAACATTGATTCTCAATGGGGGGCAATCCCAGCCACCCAGAGACATTTTGGGTTGTCACAGCTGGGGCCGGGGGGACCGCTGATACCTAGTAGGCAGTGGCCTGGTTTGCCGCTAACCATCCCACAGTGTGGAGGATGGTACCCTCTGCCCCTTCCCCCAACACACACCAAAGAACTACTGGGCCCAGCGTCGGCGGACTGTAGAAGGTAATAATTATTGTGGAAGTATCCATTCATTCCTGTGCCAGGTTCTGGTGAATCACATGAGCAACTCAGACACAGGAGTTCTGCTACTTTATATATTTCTTACAAATGGTCGTAGGTGTGTGTGTGTGTGTGTGTGTGTGTTTATAGATTTTTGTACAACTGGAAAAAGCTAAGATAGCTGTGTGGATGCAGCAATAAAATCCCCCAAACGAATCTGAGAACTGTTGAGCTGATTCACTATCATTCTTTCTTTCTTTTTTTAATTTTAGAAAGAGGGAAAGAGCATGAGTGGGGGAGAGGGGCAAAGAGAGAGGGAGAAGCTTTTTTCTTATGTGTTTATTTATTTATTTATTTATTTTCAAGTTAGCTAACATACAGTGTAGTCTTGGTTTCAGGAGTAGAACCCAGTGATTCATCTGTTACACATCACACCCACTGCTCATCCCAAAAAGTGCCGTCCTTAATGTCCATCACTCTTTTAACCCATACCCCCACCCTGGCCCACCCCCATCGTTTGTTCTCTGTATTTAAGAGTCTCTTATGGTTTGCCTCCCTCTCTGTTTTTATCTTAATTTACCTTCCCTTCCCCTATGTTCATCTGTGGAGTTTTTCAAATACCACATATGAGTGAAATCATATGATATCTGTCTTTCTCTGACTTATTTCACTTAGCATAATATCCTTCAGTTCCATCCATGTTGTTCAGTTCCATCCACGATTTCATTCTTTTTCATTGCTGAGTAATATTCCATTGATTATATTATATTATATTATATTATATTATATACACACACCACATCTTCTTATATAATATATAAGAATAATATATTATATTATATTATATTTATTATCATATAGTATAGTATATATAATATATACACACACCACATCTTCTTTATTCATCAGTTGATGGACATTTGGGCTCTTTCCATAATTTGGCTATTGTTGATAGTGCTTCAATAAACATTGGGGTGCATGTGCCCCTTCAAATCAGCATTTTTGAATCCTTTAGATAAGTTTCTGGTAGTGCAATTATTGGGTCATGGGATAGTTCTATTTTTAATTTTTTGAGGAACCTCCACACTGTTTTCCAGACTGGCTGCACCATTTTGCATTTCTACCAACAGTGCAAAAGGGTTCCTCTTTTTCCACATTCTTGCCAGCATCTGTTGCTGCCTGAGTTGTTAATGTTAGCCATTCTGACAGGTGGGAGGTAATTCTCCTTGTGGTTTTCATTTGCATATCCCTGATGATGAGTGATGTTGAGCATCTTTTCATGTGTCTGTTGGCCATCTGGATGTCTTCTTTGGGGAAGTGTCTATTCATATCTTTTGCCCATTTCTTCACTGGATTGTTTGTTCTTTGGGTGTTGAGTTTGATAAGTTCTTTATAGATTTTGGATACTAACCCTTTATCCGATATGTCATTTGCAAATATCTCCTCCCATTCCATCAGTTGCCTTTTAGGTTTGTTGATTGTTTCCTTCGCTGTGCAGAAGCTTTTTATCTTGATGAGGTCCCAATAGTTCACTTTTGCATTTATTTCCCTTGCCTCTGGACCCATGTCAATTATGAAGTTGTTGTGGCCGAGGTCAAAGAGTTTGCTGCCTGTAGGATTTTGATGGTTTGCTGTCTCACATTTAGGTCTTTTATCCATTTTGAGTTTATTTTTGTGTCTAGTGTAAGAAAGTGGTCCAGGTTCATCTTCTGCATGTTGCTGCCCAGTTCTCCCAGCACCATTTGCTAAAGAGACTGTCTTTTTTCCATTGGATGCTCTTTCCTGCTTTGTTGAAAATTAGTTGACCATATGTTGGTCAGTCCATTTCTGAGTTCTCTGTTCTGTTTCACTGATCTATGGGTCTGTTAAGCAGACTCCCTGCTCACACTGATCTCAATGTGGGGCTCAATCCCACAGCCCTGGGATCATGACCTGAGCCTAAATCAAGAGTCGATTGCTTAACTGACTGAGCTACCCATGTTCCCCTTGTTCTTTATTTAGTGGGAAACATCATCCTGTCCAACTGAACATTGAAAAGCTGAGGCCGGCAAGGGTATCTGTAGATTTGTGTTACAAGATTCTGCAGCCCTCTTCTGATCAGAGTCCATGGTGGAGAGTGGGGTGGTCATAGGCCTTCAGGAACACACATGCAGGCCGATGGACCTGCACTCAGGGGATGGATGCAAGAGGCAAGAAAGGGAGAGGGGTCTGATGATGTCAGTGCCATGGCCGTTGTCAACCGGGAGTGGGAGATTGTTAAGGTTGACATTCCCACCATTTTAACATGAGAAGCATGTGCCCTCGCTTATTGTGTGGGTGAGTGTGCCTCAGTGCGCTCCCCCTACACGCAGGGAGGCGACAGTCTCAGCAGTGATGTGATCTCTTTCCTGGCCTCTTTTGAGACCAGAGCCATAGACTGGCGAGATGGCTGGCCACAGTTAGCTGGCATGGGAAATGGAGAAAGATGGCGCAGCCGGGTTGATGGCATCCATACACTTTCCCCTATCAGGTACTGCACTGCCCGAGTGATGGGTGGGCCTGCACAAGCACATTACACTTTCAGGAAGAAGAATCATCCATAAATAAAGCATTGTGATGGTTGGAAGGCGCCTTTTTTTGTTTTTTTGTTTTTTTTTTGCATTAAGGAAGAACAGAGTTCAAGAACGTAACCTTATTCCTGTTTTTCTCTTCATTCCCTTGTAGCCTCACCACTAGAAATCAATCTCACAAGGAAAACATTCTCACAAAGTTATCTAGACACAAGGATCACTACGCATCATTGAAGAAAGTGCTACTGAACGCCAGCACCGTAAGATTTGGAACCCCTTCCCTGGTGAAAACCTCATTGTTTCTCAGAATGCGAACACTCAGAACAAGCCCAATAAAAACTGTATATTCATCCATTTATCCATCCAACAAACATTTTCTGAGCTCTTGTTAGAAGCTAGCAATTATCCTGAGTGCTTAGGGATATAGGGCCCCACCTCAGCAGTTGGATGTGGTTGGGGAGATCAGATAACATAAAATGTCATGAACTGAGGTGAGAGAGATGCCAGGGGATGAGAACGGTGCGTGGCAAGGTCACTAAGCATGCAGTGACTGCCCATCTTTCACTGTGTAACGAGTAATCTCCACCTCTTGCACATTCCCCACCCCAGCCCAGAGGGTGTGGGTTCCTAACAATGTGTAGCCCATCACAGGAAACTTCTCTGTGTTCCAATGAGCCTATTTAAGGATTTGATTGTACTGCAAAAGGGGGCTCATTCACGAATTTGTAGCTTGCTTTAAATATTAGCTCCTGTCCTACCTTAATATTTATTTTGACAATAGCATTTGGATACTTTGGGAACATGCAACATTTTCTCAAGTTTGCTATTTAAAATTTTTTTTAATATTTATTTATTTTTGAGAGGCAGAGAGAGAGAGCAAGCACACACATGTGCATGAGTGGGGGAGGGGCAGAGAGAGAGGGAGACACAGAATCCGAAGCAGGCTCCAGGCTCCGAACTGACAGCACAGAGCTTGACATGGGACTTGAACCCACGAACTGTGAGATCATGACCCGAGCCGAAGTCACACGCTCAACTGACTGAGCCACCCAGGCGCCCAACACAAGTTTGCTATTTACTAAGTACCTTCGACAACCGAATCTAGAAAATACAGAGGAATCCAGTGAACTGTTTTGCCTCGGACTCAAATTTGACTGGGTACAGAAGAGGAGGTACTCAGCCTCAGCATCAGCCTTCCTATGGGACAGCTATAGGGCAGCGTTCTGGGAAGGAGCCCACATGGCCTGGAGGCAGACCTCAAGGTTCGGAGGTTTGCTGTCTGTGCTGGAGGCGGCAACTCCTCTCTCTGTCAATCTAGAATGCCACTGCTTCAGGTTTCTGAGCCTAGTGTAGACTCAGAGATTTGGGGTTCTGTTTTCCTGGGGGGGGTATTTTAGCTAGCCTGCCTCTTCTAATTAATCTTTAGAACTATATGACCTGGTCTCTTATACTGAATGAACAATAATATAATGTGTGCTTACAATGTGCCAGGCACTGTCTTATGTGATTTACTTATCTTCCCTTGCTTCCGCCTCTACACACCTCTGTGAGGCAGACACTATCATTATCTCGTTGATCCTTTCATTTTGCCCTCATTTGCTGAGTTGGAAAGGGCACCATCAGTTATCAAGTACCCAGCCTGAGGCTCCCGGCTAGGGAGCGGTGGAGGCGGAACTCAAACCAGCTGCTGCAGAGAGGCCCGCTGCAACCCTGGGCAGAGCCGCCTGTGAGGGTGCCGGCTGGGCCTCCTCTTGGACATAAATGAAGGCTTTTGAGTGTCTACCTGCCTCAGTGCCTCATGGTATATTGAAGTAATTTAATTAAAAATAGTGAAATCTCATCTCTGTTAATGGAGGACTGTACTAACGCCAACTGTTCCAAATATTGGACTGTTTAACAGTCATTGATGTAGTGTTTCACAAACAGAACTGATCAACAAACACGTTGTACGGGTGAGGAATCAAGTGCCCGCCCACGCTGGGCCATGCGTGCCGTGGGCCCGAACGCTGAACACACAGATGAGTAATGCAGAGGCCTTGCCAATGATGAGCTCACACTCTGGAGTGTCACAGAACAGCAGTGACCATCTGATGCCTTGGGAGTTGCTGGCTGCCATGTGGGATTTCCAACACCACCCCCACCCCCACCACATGTGCCTTGTGCCTTGATCCTGGGCACGTTCTGGAACCTGGAAGGAGGAGGGCAGAGGGAGAGAGCCAGGACTAGGCAGGAGAGGGCATTTCTGCCTGGCTGCAGAGGACAGCAGTGGGAAGCCAGGCCCTCTCCTGCTATAGAGAGGGATGCAGACTTATTACAGAAAGAAAGACAGCTTTAGATCTGCTCCAAGTCATGTATCCTAAGTAGCTATCTGTGCTATTTCCACACGCCACCACCTTCCCTCTGAGCGGACCCAGTCACCTCGATCACTTATATTGAAGCCTGGTGTGGCTCACTTTCTGTCACCCAGAAACAATTTATACCCTGCCTGTTCACCCACTCTTGTTCTCAGTGTCATTATTTGCAGCCCACATGATTTTCTCAGTAGAAAGTCGGCAAGAATCTTCCAGAAAATACTAGAATTAATAATAGAAGTTAGGTCGGTGTTCAAAGATCAATATTATTTATATAAGCTGCAATAATCAGAAAATAATCTTTAAAATATCATTTCTAATAATATTATTTAAAAATATCAAATGCCTAGAAATATACCTAATAAAAATGCAAATTCTCTACATTGAAGATTACAAAGATCACTTATAGAAATAATAATCCTTCACAAGCTTTTGGTAAATATAGGAGGAAGGAATGCCTCCCAACTCATTCTCTGAGGCAGATACTACTTTAATTCTAAAGCCAGACAAAGAGATGATAAGAAAAGAAAACCAAAAACCAATATCCTTCATGAATATTATTGCAGAAATTCTCAGCAAGACATCAGGAACCAAATTCAGCAACACAAACAAAAGATTAAATGCAATGTCCATGTGGGATTTATCCCAGGATTTCACGGTTGGTTTGACTTCCAAAAAAATCAATGAATATGGTATACAATATTAATAGAATTAAGGAAAAAGCCACATGATCATCTTGAAAGATGTAGGAAAAGGATTTGAAAATCCAACACTGTTTCCTGATAACTTTCAGCAAACCAAGGCGAACAAGGAAGTTCCTTACAGTGATGAAAGGCATCTACGGTGAACCCAGAGCTAACAGCATAGTTAATGATAAGAGACTGAATACTTTCCCCCAAGATCATGAAAAACACAAAATGTCAGCTTTTGCTACTTCTCTGTGACACTGTACTGAAGCTCTGGACAGTGCAATCCTGAAAGAAGAGAAATAAAAGGCATCCAGGTTGGAGAGCAAGAAGTAAACTGTCCTTACACGTGGACACACACAAACTTCTACAAATAATAAATGAGTTCATCAAGGTTGTAGGATATAAGAGCAATATAAAAAAATCAGTTCTCTTTCTAGCAACTAGCAGTGGACAATCTGAAAAGGAACTTCAGAAAGCAATTCCATTCACAGTAAAATACCTAGTAGGAAGTTTAGCAAAAGTGCCAGACTTGTACACTGTAAATTACAAAACACTATTAAAAGAAATTAAATAAAATGTTAACAAATGAAGATGCATTCCACATTCATGGATTGGAAGACTCAATAGTATAAGATGGCAATTCTCTCCAAATTGATCTACAGATTCAACAGGTTCAATGCAAACCCTGTTGAAATGCCAACTATTTCTTTAATGTTTATTTATTTTTGAGAGAGAGACAAAGCATGAGCAGGAGAGGGGCAGAGAGAGAGGGAGACACAGAATCCATACAAAGCAGGCTCCAAGCTCCCAGCTGTCAGCACAGAGCCCAGAGTGGGGCTCGAACTCATGAACCTTTGAGATCATGACCTGAGCTGAAGTTGGATGCTCAACCAACTGAGCCAACCAGGCACCCCATTTTTTTCAACTGTCTTTTATTGCAGAAATTAAAAAATTGATCTTAAAATTCATATGGAAATGTAAAGGTTGCCAACCTTGACATTTATGGTCTATTCATCTTTGGCAAGATCAGCGGGAGAAAGGATCGTCCTTCCCACAAATGGTCCTGAGATAACTGGATAGCCATATGCAAAAAGATGAACTACCTTACCCCATACACAACAAAAAATGGGCCATAAACCTAAATATGAGAGTTAAAATGACAAAACTCTTAGAAGAAGGCATATGTGTAAATCTCTGTGACCCATGTTAGGCAAGTATTTCTTAGGACACTAATAGCATGATCCATAAAGGGGGAAAACCCCATAAACTGGAATCATCATAAATAAAAAATTGTGCTTCAAATGATACCATTAAGCCACATTCTGGGAGAAAATAAGTGCAAATTATATATTGGGTAAAGGACTTGCAAGGAAACTATATAAGAACTCTTCGAACTCAATAAGGGGACAACTGAATGTAAAAAATGGGCAAAATATTTGAATAGACATTTCATCAAAGAATACATAAAAGGGATGCCTGGGTGGCTCAGCCAGTTGAGTGTCCGACTTTGGCTCAGGTCATGATCACATGGTTCATGAGTTGGAGCCCCAAGTCCGGCTCTATGCTGAGAGCTCAGAGCCTGGAGCCTGCTTCAGATTCTGTGTCTCCCTCTCTCTCTGTCCCTTCCCGACTCACACTCTGTCTCTCTCTCTCTCACACAAAAATAAAGAAACATTAAAAATTTTTAAAAGGAGACATATGAGTGGCCAACGAGCAAATGAAAAGATGGCCAACATCATTAGACATCAGAGAAATGTGAATCAGAAGCATGCTGGCACACCACTTACTAGTTTATGGCGACAATCAACTCACAAAGGCAGCAGTAAGTGTTGACAGGGATTTGGAAATGGAATTCGCACTCTCCTCCTGGTGGAAATAGAAAATGGTGCAGCTACTATTGAAACAACATGGTTGTTTCTTTAACATGGAAACAGAAATTAACCACCTGACCCAGCAATTCCTCTCTCAGGTAGCTGCCCAAGTAAAAACATTTGTCCACATGAAGAATTGTGTACAGATGTTCGTATCAATGTTACTCATAACCTCCAGACTGGAAGTGATCCAAATGTTCACCTACTTGTGGTAAGATAAACAAAAGGCGGCATAGCCGCATACAGTGGAATCATCACAGGAATAACAAGGAACAAAATACCGATCCATGACGCATCCTGGATTGAACCGCAAAAACGTCACACCACGTGATAGAAGCCAGATGCGAAATGCCTACTGATGGATATATCGTATGCTTCCGTTTACATGAAATATCCAGAACAAAAACAAACACGGACAGACAGCAAATAGATCGGATGCCTTAGGTCGGGGATGGTAGTGGGGAGCGGCTGCAAGTGGACACTTGAGGTTTCTCTCGAGGTGATGAGAATGCTCTGGAACCAGATGGTGGTTAATGGTTGCACAGTGCTCTACACTTATTGAAAATCACAGCTGTCCTATTTGGATAGTAAAAATTTGATTATCTTCCCAGACTAAAAAATAAGCAGGTATATGTTCCTCTAAATTATCTAATTTTCCCTGAGACAACCTTGTATCCATTTCTGGCTTTGGACCCCAAAGTCACGGCTGACATTTACACACCGCTTTGTCACTTAGCGAGTCGCTCTGCCACGTTAATATTCCCACTATCTCTCTGTGAGGAGGTAGGGCTTCTTTATTCCCCCGTTTGTTTTTTTTTCCCAGGAAACAGTATCTCTTAATTTTGATATTTAATTTACTTATTGGTAATTTTTTATTCTGGGGGAAGAATTTGCCTCACAGTATTTTACTGATAATATGTTTTCTTTATGCAGCGTGGCTGAGATTTTTCTTGCTAAGTAATTGTCCATTTATGTAATTGATGCGGTTGGTGGTAGTGAAAATAAGCATCATTAATATTTTTAGGAAATTGGCAAGTTGTTAATTGAATTGCTGGGAAGTTGTGTGCCCTGCACGGCTGAGCCACATAGCCCTCAGGTGTGGACAGGGCAGGAGGAGCTGTCACCACCAGCACTCAGCCTGTCCCGAGGAGGGGGTCAGCGTGTGCCCGCAGGGTGGGCCGCTCTCCTCTCTTGGGGCCCTCTCCTGCCTGTGTCCTGACAGAGGCACTGTGGGAGCGGCCCCTGCAGGGTCCCAGTGTCCCCCTGCCCCCGCCCCACCCCCCACACTGCTCTTGGCTCACAGTGTTACACAGTGACCACCACCGGAGGGATTCTCGCTTCATCATCAATCGAGCCAGAGCTCACTCTTCATTCAGTGATGTTTAATTCATATATAATGTGTTTCCTTCCTTTTCCCTTCTCCTAAAAATATTCCCTTATATACACTCTCATGCTCAGCAACCCGATGGACGGATACCAGGTGAAGAATTGCGACATATTCTAAATTGCGAGGTTGTAAAAATCAGTGATTCAGAATTCAAAGAACTAATGCAGACGCTTGACCCTGAGGGCACCGGATGGGTCAACGTCAACACCTTCGCCCATCTGCTTGAAGAGAACCCTAAGGTGAGTTTTATAACAACGTCACATTTGATTTTCCCTTTATGGCAGGAAATGAAGTATTCTTGGTGAAATACGGGATGAAGGGGAAATTGGTCTTAAGTAAATGACTACACATTTTTCAGCTGGGTTGATTTTCACTTTAAGGAAGAGTTAAGTGTTTGAGTCATTTGATTTTAACTCTTGGTGTCTAAATCTTATTCAAGGGTGCTGTTTGACGTTTTCTGGAAAGCCATCCTAGAACGAGGGTACCTGTATATTCACTTTCTTTTCATAGCGCATTTGTAGGGCCCTTCTTGTACACGGGCATGTTTGTAAATTATTCCTCTGCTTCTCATTAAGAGTTTTCGTATTAGTTTCCCATTTTAAAAAGTAACTGTTTATTGCCTCTAATGACGAATACTTGCTTTTCTTTTGACCAAAAGGCTAACATAATTTTATTATCAGAAATGTTTTTGTAATTTTAATAGCTATTAGCACTTAAACATTTTAAGAACTTTAAAAAATTAGATTAGTGTCAGGTAATGCATTTGATAGGCATTGGGCAATTCTTGTTGAAATGTTTGTTACAGACTTCTTTTAGCAGGTGCAAATTAGCTTTTCACCAATATTATGATATCCTGAGCGCCCACCTTGTGCCGGGTGGTGACTGCATCCTAAACCAATGTTGTTTGGTCCTTCTAGAGTTCTAGTTCAAAAGTAAGTCCCAGGCCCTCACACACAGGAAAGGATCATTGGACCTTTTCCTGAACTCCGCTGTGGGGCTCCTGTATTAGCTCCTGAGAATCACGGCTTCTGATCATCACAGCAACCCCACACACAGCATCTTTGAAAACAAAATATGGGGGGGGGGGGTGGGCGCCTGAGTGGCTCAGTATGCGAACTGTCCAACTTTGGCTTATGATCTCATGGTTTGTGAGTTCAAGCCCCGCATTGGGCTCTGTGCTAACAGCTCAGAGCCTGGAGCCTGCTTCGGATTCTGTGTCTCCTTCTTTGCCCCTCCCCCACGCTCACTCTGTTTCTCTCTCCGTCAAAAATAAATATAAAAACATTAAAAACAAAATATGGGCATGTAAACCATCTGCTCTCCACGTGCCAAGTGGCATGATCTTTACTTAATATAAACGACACCCCATCACCTCCGACAGGTGTCTGGGATCCTAGGAGAAAGCAGAACTTCCTAACCTGGTTGACAAGGTGTCCACATGGTCCAGCCCTGCCGCCCGGCTCCAAGAAGCCTCATGGGCCACACTGCACAGGTCCTCTGGTGCCCCCAGGTCCCCCTCCATTCTCGGGGTGCTGCAGCTCCCTCCGGGATTCCTTTCATACTCCTCTCACCTGCTGAGGCCATCTGCAGGTCTCAGGGCGCCCGGTGCCTTCCCAGGGACCCTCTGTGACACCTCTGGCAGCCACCAGCCTCACACACCTGCCCAGTCACAGTGTCACAACTGTGTCGTTATGTGGTCATGTCCCCACAAAGATGGGCCCATCATGGCCACGGGGGCTTGCCCAGGCCCGGGCACACTCACAAAACAGTGCGATGAGTGGATGAATCAACATATAGGAATGAACCAGAAAAATTAGGAAACACAGATATGCAAAGAGAAGGAAAAAAACCACCACTAATTCTAACACTGAGGAGTTGTTAGCCATGTTACACTTTGGTGTGTGTTGTTTTCAGCTTTACTGCCATTAATATACAAAAACTGCAGATATTTAATGTATGCGATTTGATGAGTTGGATACATACTTTCATGTATGATATCTATTTTTTTTTAAATGAGATACTGTAGGAGTGCCTGGGTGGCTCAGTTGGTTAAGCATCTGCTTGTGATTTTGGCTCCTGGCATGATCTCACAGTTTGGGAGTTTGAGCCTCTGTGCTGACAGTGTGGAGCCTGCTTGGGATTCTCTCTCTCTCCCTCCCTGCCCTTCCCTCACTCACACACGTTCTCTCTCAAAATAAATAAATAAACTTAAAATAAATAAAAATTAAAATAAAATAAAATGAGATCCTATAATTAATGACTTTTCAGTCCATGCTGTCCCTTATTAACATGCTGTTAATACTGTTAATAAAAATTCTGCTGTATGATTTTAAAAGATACAGAGTAACAATTCCCTGTTGTAACCTAGGTGTTTTTTCCCCTTTCATAAATTTTGCTACAGTGAATATTGTGGAGCCTGCTTTTTTACACCACTCTATGAGTATTCTTTGAGTATAGATTTCTGGAAATGGAATTATTGGGTCAAAGAATACATATTTTATTCTTTAAGTGCTTTTAATTATTTGAAAAGGGGGATATATGCGTAAAGAACAAAATGCAAAAGGTGCAAAGAGGAACGCGGTGATAATTAAGGTTTTTTTTCCCACTTCCGTTCCCTCACCAGCCCCAGGGGTGCGTCTGCTGCCCCACGGTCTGTAACTAGCAAATCATCCAAGATTACCCCTTGTCAATACTGGCAATTTGCCTCCTTTTTCATTTTTACCATTCTGAAAGGCAGAAATGCCATCCCATTATTGTTTTATTTTGCATTTATTTGCTATGTAATAGACTTCTTTTATGTTTAGGGTACACTTTTTTTAAAAATAAGTGCAGGTTAAATGCTATTATCCCCATTTCCAGGTGGGGATTAGTGGGCAAACTCATGTGCTCACAATCTCAAGGTTAATTGTCAGATCAGGGGTAAAGCTCACAGGCCATGTCCGTCTGCCTCCAAAGCCCCTCCTGCCCTTGGTGAGTGATTTGTGTTTATATACTTTCTTTTTCCCGATTAGATAGTTTTCTATCTAATTTCCCATCTTGTTTTCACGGGCTGCAGACCCCGAGATGGCTTTCTTCCTGGCGTGGGATTCAGTAAGTAACACTTTCCCGCGTGGTCCCAGGGAGCCACCACCCCAGCTCGCAGATATGCCCCTCGGTAAATATGTTTGTTTGTTTTATGTTAGGTGGAAGAGATCGTCCGCGACTCAATTACTAGGAATCTACAAGCCTTCTATAAAATGCTACAGTCATACGACCTCGGGGACACGGGGCTCATTGGTCAAAATAATTTCCAGAAAATCATGCACCTCTTCTGCCCCCTTTTAACAGCTGAGCATTTACTGAAGTAAGTGTTTTGGTAACGGAAGTAATCCGTGTCGCGTTTTTCATCAGGTCTGTTTATGATCCTGTTTGCAGTACTGATAGGGAGGATTGATACTAAGTGCTGTTTGCTGGGTCCTTACTAACGTAGGACGCTGGTTGAGAGTTTGGCAGGCGCTCCGTGATATAGTCCTCGTGACAGCCATGGAAGGTGGCTGTTACTCCTCTCCGGGGTAAGGAAGCCGAGGTCTGGAGAGGTCACGTGGCAATTCAGGGTCCTGTAGCCAGGAGGCTGTGGAGCCCGATTCCCTCCCAGGTCTCCGTGGCTTCTCCGCTCTTACTCGTGATGCTGCTGTTCCCTCCCCGGGTGTCTGGCGATGGTCAGCCAGCCCATGGAGAGGTGCTGGGGTGGTGGCTCTGTTTCACTTCCGTTTAAAACTTGTCTCGTGGTGGCTGAGCGGGGCTGGAAGGGGACAGGGGTCTTATGAGACAAGAGAGCAGTGCCGTGAAGGCCCCTGCGGGTCTCCTGCCCTGTGTCTCGTCTGCCCTGCCCACGGCTGCCCTCGGGCCACGGAGCCCCCTTGCCCGCCTCTCTGCGGTGACCTTGGGAACCTATAGCTTGGACCTTGCAGGGGGTGACGCCTCCCACGTCACTACCTGAGCACCCTGCTGTCCGCTCAAGCTTGTTGTCGTTGAACTTGGGGCTGCATGACCATAGACACTGTTTGTTCCGTGTGTCCCACGAGGGACGGCAACCTGGGAGATGGCTTTCGGTGGAAGCCCAGTAGAGTCGCAGGGAAGAAAGTTGACTCTCATTCCTTTTCAGTTTCCCGAATGGATAATCTTAAATCTTGTATTTGTTGCTTTTGATTACATTACATTGATTTCAGGTGACCGCAAACACAGTCGGTCCACGGGAGCTGTTGGCCACCTGAGTCTCCTGTCTGTGAACATTCATGTTTCATAGCCCAGTTTCTCTGTGGTTGGTTTTTATAGGAAAACAGGGGTTTACGGGAGGAGGGCGAGCCGAGGCTTCCTGAGCAGGAGAGGCGCCGAGCATGGTGTTTGCATTCATCTGAGTTTCTCAAACGTTTGCAGAAAGGCCGGTTTGCTGTAGTGTGGTTAACACGGGCAAGGGGAGGGACATGTGACAGCAAGTCCAGAGAGAGGGTCCTAGAGGGGGCTCGGGGGGGCCAGGGGGGACGGGGGGGGGGCGGACAGGGGAGAAGCGAGTGTGCAGAGGCTTCAGCGCCTTGGCCTTTGCTGTGTACAGTCTCCAGGACGGAAGGACCGCCTGGGCAGGTCACTTCTTCCTTCACATAGTCTTTCACTCAGTGGGTGGTATTAGAGAGTGCCTACTGCATACCTGCTCTCCTACATAACCGGTTCTCAAAAGCCCTTTATTTCCAGGGCGCGCTCGCGGGGGCCGGAGGTGCAGACACACCCCGCCTGGCACGGAAGCGCAGCTCTGGGGGAGCCCGGTGGCGTGCGCGCTTACACTCCCTGGTGGAGTGCGGGGAACTTCTCCACGTGACGCTGGAGTCTGAGGAGAAAGGGGAGGGCGTTGGAAGACATGGGAGATTGGGGGGGAAGCCCAGAGGAGCAGAGGCACGGTGGGGGACTGGCAGGTATGTGGGGTTGTCAGGGCAGGAAGTTATACAGGGAGGAGCAGAACAGGGGTGCTGCCGAGGGTCAGGCTGGGGTGACTGTGCGTGCAGAACTGGGGAACCGGGGCCATCGGGCAGGGCATCTTGATGGGTCATCTGGTCCCCCTGCCAGTACCTTAGAATCATCTGGAAAGTTGTGAAAGCCCCAGCGCCCATGCCCTGTCCACGGGCCGGGCCGGGCCCTGTTATACTGGACCCTCCCTGGCTCTGATGTGCAGCCACGGTGGACAAGCACCGCCCAGGGGGCAGGTGACGATTTCAGAGGTGCTCTGTAAGGTTACTGTGGACAAAGCACAGGGTGAGAGGAGGAGGGTGGGTGGGTGGGCAGCGCGCGCCGTGGCAGCGGCACTGTAGAGGGGCGGCTGCTGGGTGGTGGGCTCGACGGAAGGACAGGGCAGGGCGCGGTGACTCTGGAGTGGAGGTGGATGGGGGTGGGGCGGGGCCCGGGTGCCGGCCAGGGGCAGCGTCGTCAGCCAGTTAGGAGACACAGAGTGACACTCCGGAAGGAGATTACGGAGGGCGTGGGTGCAGAGAGCGGGCGGGGCTGCAACGCGATTCTGGAGTCTTCCTTGCACAGACAGCCTGAGCCTCTGTTGGGCGAGGGTTCATCTGGGGGCACGCGGTGACCGTCTGAGGTGAGAGGGGACGCCGAGGGGCTGGCAGAACACCACCTGCTCACTGGGGCCTGGTGGGCACAGCAGCTGGGAAGGCGGAGGTCAGGGTGACGGTGCTCGGCCCGCGGCGCAGGGGCCTCAGGGAGCAGATCGAAGTCTGTGGGGCGGGCGGCACACGGGGCGAGCACCCACATCCATCATGGCCGTGGCCTTAGCAAGCAAGGCCTCAGGAGAGGGGCCGGGGGAGCAGGACCTCAGGGCTGGCAGGGGAAGGTGCACTGCAGGTGCCGGTGAGCTTGCAAGGAGTGTGGGGAACTCGGTGTTGGGAAATGATTGACTCCCAAAGCTCCAGTGCCCGGAGCGGAGCTGTGTCTAGTGTGTGGTCAGGGCTTTGTAAGTGCTGAGTGAGGCTGGAAGGGAGGAGGGGAGGAGGGAAGGAAGGAGGAAGGAAGGCAAAAGGAAAAGGAAGGGAGGGAGGGAGGGACGGAGAAAGGAAGAAAGAAAAAAATGTAAGCTGGGGCGCCTGGGGGGCTCAGTCGGTTAAGCGTCCAACTTCAGCTCAGGTCATGATCTCACAGTTTGTGGGTTTGAGCCCCGCGTCGGGCTCTATACTGACAGCTAGCTCAGAGCCTGGAGCCTGTTTCAGAGTCTGTGCCTCCCTCTCTCTCTCTGACCCTCCCCTGCTCATGCTCTCTCCCTCTCTCTCAGAAATAAATAAAACATTTATTTATTTAAAAAATTTAGAAAAAATGATTCTCTCTCTCTGTGCCCCATCCCCAATCCCTTTCTCTCTTTTTCTCAAATTAAAAAAAAAAAAATGAATGAATGAATGAAATCGGTGGATTGGTCATGTGCCCCATCCCCAATCCCTTTCTCTCTTTTTCTCAAATTAAAAAAAAAAAAGTGAATGAATGAATGAAATCGGTGGATTGGTCATGTAGGTAATTTCATCTCAAAGGTGAAAGCCCGTCTAATACAGTCTCCAGTCTCAACTATAGATCTGATGTTACAACCCCACTTAAAACACGTGTGTCCTGTTGCTGTTAGAAAAACATCCAGATGCTTTTAAAAAAAATTTTAAACATTTTTATTCATTATTTGAGAGACAGAGAGAGACTGAGGGAGGGAGGGGCAGAGAGAGAGGGAGACACAGAATCCGAAGCAGCTCCAGGCTCTGAGCTGTCAGCACAGAGCACGATGAGGGGCCCAAACCCAAGAACCATGAGATCATGACCTGAGCTGAAGTTGGATGCTTAACTGACTGAGCCACCCAGGTGCCCCTTCAGACAATTTTAAGAATGACTTCCCAGACCCCTTGTGATGGTCACCACCCCCCAAACCCCCCCAGAGCTTGGGCTCTGCGGCCAGACTGACTGGGTTCACATCCCAACTCAGCCCTGAACCAGCTGTGCACTTGGGCATGTTCCTTAACCACTCTGAGCCTGGATGTCCTTGCTCAAACACTGCTTAAGAGAACGTGGTGAGGGTCAAAGGCGATCCTAGATGTAGAGCCCCATCCAGCGCTGAGCCCAAGAAATACTTACTTGCGCTGTTTCCACTGCCGCTTCTCCACTCGGCCCAGACTGAACTGCTTTCTGTTCCCTGACAACATGCCGCTCTCTCTCACGGCCAGGCCTCTAGATGGCCTGTTTCCGCGGTTCCAAATGTGGACTTTCCTGGCCTCTGGGCTCCATGAGGTGGGGTTTGCTTAGTCCGTTCACAGTTGTAGCTGTGATGCGTGTCATTACCTGGCAGCATAAATATTTCTCAAAGTGGTTATATCAATGGCTAGAGCTTCCGGAACCAAGGATGGCCTCAGAGCTCGTGCTGTGTGCTGGACTGTGTATAAAGCATCATCATGATAATCGCGATGCCGTTATTACAGCGGCAGTTTATTGAGCGCATGCACAGGTACACGTAGTGCTAGGAGCCTTCTGCAGATCGTGTTACTTAGTTTTATAGTAACCCTCTGGGATAGGTGCATTTTATAGACGAGGAAACCGAGGCTAGGAAAAGTGTCGTGCCCCAGGTCGGCGGTTCTCTACCCTTTCATAGGCTTAAAAGTTCTTGAGGACCTCAGAGGTTTTGTTATATGGAATAGATCTCTCAGTATTACTGTATTAGAAATTCAAATGGAGACACTTGGAAAATATTACTGCAGAAAATCAATGTGTATGACCCCGTTGCGTTTCCCTGTAGGCTCAGGGAAACATGGGGGCTTCAAAATAATGACATATTGGATGATGATTAGGTGACAGAAATTAGAGCAGGTGTAACCCAAGGTAGCTAGTAACTAGCTAGCAAAGGGCTGTCAAGAAACTAAGCTAACCTCTGAAAACTCCCTATGGCTCCTCATTTATACCCAAAACATTTGTACAGCCTTCGAAGACGTTAGAGGACACAACCCACCTGAGCACGCATTCCTTTGTTTGTCACATGTCTTATGGCCTTTGATAAACCCACTGTGCACAAGAGGTGCGGGGTAGTATTCATATGAAAATGGTCCGGGTCCCCTGGGGCCCCTGGAAGTGCCTGCAGACCGCACCTTGTGCACACCACCTTCAGTCATGGAGCTGTTAAGTCCAGGGCTGATATTCAAGCCCCAGGAGGCAGATTCCAGGGCCCGCACCCAGAGCCACTGCGTCCTGTTGCCTTCTGTATTTTAACAAACATGTGGAATATTATTTTGGTCCCCAGGCTTTACCAGGTTTGCCACAATGAGCATACACAATTTTTATGGGATTAGAAAAATATTAGCCAATAAAATGTTGGGGGGGGGGAAGTAGTTCTTGCCCTATTGGTGGGTTCCTACAGTTTTCTAAAATATTTGCCTGTGCCAAAATTGCAATATAGGTGCTTCCGCGATTCCAGAACTTGCGATTTGAAAAATTTGTTCTTTTTATATTTGTTATATCTTTACCACAGCATCCTCTACAATCTCTAAACTGCACATAATGTAACTGGTACCGTTTGAGGACCCCCGACATGTGTATACATCCATGAAGCCATCACAAGCCATCAGTCAAGATAGCAAACAATCCCACCACCCCCTCCCCAGCAAAACTTCCCCGTGCCCTCTGCAGGTCCTCTCCTCTACAGCCCTAGCAACCACTGGTCCCCGCTCTGTCACTGCACATGACTTCGAATTTTCTAGGCTTGTGTACAAATGAAAGCATGCAGTTATTCTTCTTTTCATCAGGCTCTGTTCCCCGAGCATAATGATTTTGAGATTCAGTCACGTTGTTACGTGTATGCACAGCTGGTTTCTTTTCGTCACCAAGCAGTGTTCCATTCCTTCCCACAGCCTGCGGGGCCACTCAGTGTTGAGTGTTTTATTTGCTACAAATAAAGCTGAATAGATTGTATAAGTCTTTGTATAGACCTACATCTTTATTTCTCTTGGGTAGATGCCCAAGGGCAGAAGCGCTGGTTCCTCTGGGTGACTGTATATTCAAGGTGTGTATGCAAGGTGTGGATTTAAGGTGTGTGTTCAAGGTATCTACTCCTGGTTTATATGCAAGGTGTGTATTCAAGGTGTGCATTCAAGGTGTGTCTTCAAGATATATATATGCAAGGTGTGTATGCAAGGTGTGTGTTCAAGGTGTATATCCAAGGTGTGTATGCAAGATGTGTATTCAAGGTATGTGTTCAAGGTGTATGTTCAAGGTATATATTCAAGGTGTCTGTTCCAGGTGTGTGTTCAAAGTGTGCGTTCAAGGTGGGTATTCAAGGTATGTGTTCAAGGTGTGTGTTCAAGGTGACTGTTCAAGGTGTCCATTCAAAGTGTGTATTGTAGGTGTATATTTCAAGTGTGTATTCCAGGTGCATATTTCAGGTGTGTATTCCAGGTGCATATTTCAGGTGTGTATTCCAGGTGCATATTTCAGGTGTGTATTCCAGGTGCATATTTCAGGTGTGTATTCCAGGTGTCTTCCAGAATGGTTGCCCGTCCCTCACCAGCCGTAGGTACTCCCATCCTTGTCAGCACTTGATAGGTTCAGTCCTTTCCATTTCAGCCATCCTGATAGGTGTGTCCTAATTATTTTTAAAATTCAGACTCTGCAGTAAGTTTCAGGATAACACTTCAGGAAGAATCCTTTACAAGAAACTTTTGGCATGCATTGGAATTTGTGGCCCACCCACCAGCTCTCCAGTGCTTGTTCCAAAGGATCAAGCGTTAAGTGAACATTCTCATAAAGAGAAACAGCAGCAGCCGGACCTTCCCGACAGGTAAAGAAAAACAAAATGAAAGCACGTATCAAAACCAGTGTCTGCTGTAGGGTAGGTGGTTAGTAAATATTCATTGACTAAATGCATGTTTTAATATTTTATTATTGAAATGAGAAAAATGACAAACCATACACACAGCGAATTGGGTCAGGGGAGTAGAGAGCAAGCAGAGATCTTAGAGATTATTGGGTTGACCTCTTCATTCTGAAAACGAAAGCACTCAGGTCTTCAAGGTCCGGGGCCTGGCCTCAGGTAATTCACAAACTTAGTGGCCATCCTGGGTCAAGAACCCAGGACCTTCAGCTCCCAGAGTACCTGTCTGCCACTCAACCATTACATGCCTGCGTTCTCATTTGTTCTTTTCCAGAACCTTAGACTTCTTACCACTGTTTAATATTTATGGTAAAATATACCCATTAAACCAGTTAACATTTCTGACATGAATGATAGAATTATTCAAATGATCCCCAAATTGAATTGTAACAATAAAACACGCTTAGCATATCTATTAAACATTGGACTGATGAATATTCTAGCCCTTCCTCATTTTGAAAAATATAGGTTTAGCCTAATGGAACGATATTATTTTCACTTGCTGGTTCATAGCTTATAATAAATCCACAAGGAAAGTTGAAATGTAGACCTATTCAGCAGACCTCACTCTGTCATTTCCCTTTAAAAAGTTCTTAAGTACAGAGCCGTGGGAGTATTTTAATGCTGCGCTAATGAAATTAGAATATCTGGGCATTTCAGTGGTAGCTTTTTAAATGGGCAGAAGGATGGTATTTTAAGAGAAAGGTTAAATATTCTATGATGAGGTATGTCTGCCTCCTAATACCAATGGAAGGAGTAATGGCAATTATGTGTTTTATAAAATGTGGGCATTCCTGGAGAGCTCTTTAGAGCTGATGGAAGGAAGCAGCAGGAGAGGAGAAGTCCTTTCTCCATGACTGTCGCTCGGCTCTTCCCCTCCCCCCACACCAGTGGGGTCCTAGAGACTTTTCTGAAGAGCCCAAGAAATCCTTATCCCTGATCACATCTCTCCCACATAGCACACCACATTTTATAAATGTATAGATTTTATAAATCCAGCTGACTGTATAAATCAACTTGGAATAATTGCGAACTTCTCTTCCTTCCTATGGCTGTTTGATGACTTTTTGGACCTGGTTACCTCTAAGTGGCCTATTTAATTTAAAGCCTTGTAAAGTGCTCTGACTTTTCACTTTCCCACTTCACACAAATATTTACTTTTCGCCACCATGTCGGCCCGTCACATGCCCTATTTATAAACCAGCCCACGGCACAGTTGAGAGCCTTAGCACAGGGATGGCAGTTTCCACCTCCCTGGAGCTCCCAGCTGTGGCTTGTGGCCAGATACTCACCACACAGGAAGAGTTTTCACCTGACACGGTGCTGCGGGCCTCTCTGGGACCCACAAGCCATGGGCGGGTAAGAAGTTCTCAAACCACTCCATCCACCTGGGCACTGGTTCCTTGTTTGTGAGAAAGGACTGGTAGACCTCCTTGTTGCCCTGGGTTGAGCCGAAATTGGGTGAGGTCTGTAGGAAGCTCTCCGCTAAATTCCCGATTGTGATTTTAGAATGAAGCCCACTGGGGACAAAAGCACCCTGACCAAGAAAATGACTAAGGATGAAGTGATTGAAAAACTCAAAAGACGTATACAGCAGCAAGACCCAGCATTCCTAAAAATATTTCTTGAATTCAGCAAGGAGCCTGCTGGCAAAATTAATGCGCATGACTTCAAGAAGGTAGGAGAACCGGGTTCGCTGTGTTTCTGAGTTTTCTTTCGTTCCTGGAGAGATTCTGTTGTTTCGTTGCACTAACCGTCTCTAAAGGGTAGGCATTACATTTTCGGTGAGGGTTTATTTTCTTACCGGCAAAGCACATCTATTTCCAGGCATCGTTCAACAATGTAAAGGGATTCTTTTGGCTGAAAATGTCTTTGGCAACTTCCTTCAGAGGATACTATGGATGTGGCCAGTTTTTCGATATTTAAACTTTTGAGACAAAGTATTCACCGAAGTGTGGTTTGGCCGGCTGCGGAGTATTGTTGAAGGGGGCTGGGGGCAAGAGCCTCTCAGGCCCCTTCCCTGCCAGCGAGGAATCCGGTGACGCTGTGGTCACAGAGCTGGGGTTTGTTCCTCGAGCACGTGAAAAAAAAAATCTGGCAGTAAAAACTGGGAAGCTCAGAGTGTTGATTTGTACGCGCTTATGGGAGCTGGAAGGTTCTGCCAGAAAGGACTCAGCGTGAAGGGTTCTGCATAGGCTTCTCAGGAATTAATTTCAATGATTGCTTAAAATTCCTGTTACGACCCTTCCAGCTAATCATCTTCAGCTATTTTTAAGGAAAGCACTGCAGTTAATATGTAGCAGTGTCTGTGTGGACGTATTTAGAAGAAGGCAATATTAGAAGCTATTATTTATCCAGCACCTGCCCCCATGCCAGGCGCTGTAAGAGGCTCGGTACGTATTTTCTCTGAGCTGACAGCGTCACTGAGGCTGGATGGAGGAGGGAGCCGGGCCGTCCGCACGGGGCTGGGGTGGGTGTCTACTGCAACAGCCTAGACCTGTCCCCCCTACCCCACTCCACCCCAGACTGGAAGATGTGCAGTCACGAGGCATGATGATGGGGACAGACTCAGGAAATATTTGGGAGGAAAGGGTGATAGGTGAAGAGCGGCTCCTCAATCTCCGGTCTGGGGGGACTGGGTGGCTATGATGAGCCATTGAGAACGCCGGTGAGCAGGGTGGATGGTGGAACGTGGGTGTGACTTGCCTGATGCTCCCAGGGCACCTTGTGCCAGACTCTTTGGTCCCCAAGTCCCCTGGCACAGTCCTGACCCCTCGAGCCCCACAGCCCTGAATGATCGTAGTACTCGATGCTTTCGATTATGGAGTCAGTTCACAGGCTCACAGGAGACCAAGAACCCACCAGGCTGCCGCTGACTTTTCAGAGGGACAGTGGGTACCTTAGAGAAGGGCAGTGGTGGCGGCAGAGCAGGGAGCCCTGCCCAGAGCGCAGGCTCCCCGCACAGCTCTTTGCCCTGCTCGCGTGAGGCGGCCAGGAAGCCCAGCAGTACGCCTCCCATCCTAAGGCCTCTGCGCCATCGCTAAGCCAGCGACCCCATTGCGGGCATCTCCGTTCACACCCCGGAGCACCCTCCTGAGCCTCAGTCTCTGCTCCCCGCCTGCCTGCTGGCCTTCTGCGCACGGCTGTCCAGAGATGCCGGTGTCCTCACCAAGGGCGGCCTCTTCCGGTTGCTGGGGGCTCCAGTCTGGGGTCTTCCTTGACTCTCCTCTTTCTCGCACACCCACACCCGGTGCGTCAACAGAGGCAACAGGCTTTGTGTGCTCACAGCCCAGCGGTCAGGGCCGCACTCCAACCAGTCCGTCAGAAGGGGCCACTCCTGCTCAGAACGCGCCCGTGGGTCCCCACCTCTTCTCGGATACAAACCGGAGTCCTCGCAGGGCCTAGAGGCTCCTGCATTGCCCAGCAGATGGCTCTGCCTAGGCACTGGCTGTCCCCTCCGCCTGGAGGGTGTCCCTCTTACAGCTGCAAGACTGTCCCCCTCGCCTCCTCCAAGCCTTCGTCCCCTGAGGCGACACTGACATTCCTATGGCAAATATAACCTGCTCTCCCACCTTGATCTCCTTTCCCCCATTTTTCTTCTCTGGTGTCACCGTCTGCTGCCGTGCAGACTGGGCTTAGGATCTTTTCGTTCATTCCTTCGCTCTGCTGTTTGCTCGATTTCCTCCATTAAAGCATATGCTCCAAAGGTGGACAACTTTATGTCTTTGGACAGTGATGCATCCCAGATGCTTGGCATGAAGCAGGGCCCAGCATTTACTGAACGAGTGGATGAGCTTGAAGAGGGACTAGAGTCCCTGGGGGCCCAGAGCGGGGGCCGCTTGCGGACTGAGGGGGGCAGGTGTTTCAGAAGCCCATCAGGATCCCTAGGCGTGAGGCTGGTTCCCACACCGCCCATGGTGAGGCCCAAGCCCCCCAAGCTCCCTCCTCTGCCCCCGGGGTTTCCCTGCATTCTTGCTGACCTTGAGGGGCACCTGCCAGGACACTTACTCTGCTGCTCGCTTCCTGGAGGTGCCTGAGTGCCTCTCCCTCTCCCTCTAGGGTCTCCCGGCTCCCCCGAGACTTCCCTGCTTCCTGAAGATGCACCTGCAGCGAGGGGACAGGGAAGGAGAGACCACAGGAGGGCAGGGCCAGCATGCAGGGAGGAGAGTTGATGGCTGTTTTAACGACCAACTCGCCGTGAACCCGATTAGGCAAATTATTGGCCGAATTCCCCCCTGGTGACTTGTGGGGTTTAACCTTTGGGAAACATCCTGTCGTTGACCAACCTTTTAGCCCAAAGATCAACAGCCATGGGGTGATTTTAAACAGTCCACTAGGGACCTAGGTTTGAACTTCAAAAGCTGACTTCAAAGCATTATGTAAATATAAACTTCATAGTTTATTGAAGAGCTTGTTTCTAGATCAAGGTGCTTCTCCTACCTGTGAGGTCAGAGCTGGAGAAGTCATGGTCGTACGCTACAGAAAGAAACAATTTAGGTTAGACATAATGCAGGGCATCGAGATGTGAAAGGTTTGGGAGTGTCGAACTTCAGTGGCAAGGAAGCCTTTGAAACCTACTCCTCTGAGACCTTTAAGGATAAATGACAATAACAAGTGTGTAATTGTAGTAACAGCAGTAATAGCTGCAGTGACAATGATGGCCTTCCCTGGAATAGTGACAGTGCGGGGCATGGTTATCACTACAGCCACCAGTGATCCGGCCCCTCCGGTGTGCCTGCGTTCTGGAAGTTGCATCGCATATCATGTTTCTAAGACTCACAGCAGCCCTGTGGTGCATACATTACACTGGGCACATTCACAAGTGAGGGGACCGAGCTCAGGAGTTAGGACAGTGGCTCAGTGTTGTTCAGTTGGTAAGCCGTTCAGGCACCTGGATTGGAATCCACATCGGTCTCTGTCAGCCTCAGACCCCTGATGGGTGTAAGATGGGCTACCTGGGTTTAATGTGAGTTTGCTGGGTGTAAGATGGGCTAGCTGGGTGTGAGATGGGTTTGCTGGGTATCAGATGGGCTAGCTGGGTTTAATGTGAGTTTGCTGGGTGTAAGATGGGCTAGCTGGGTGTGAGATGGGTTTGCTGGGTATAAGATGGGCTACCTGAGTGTGAGATGGGTTTGCTGGGTGTGAGATGGGTTTGCTGAGTGTAATGTGGCCTAGCTGGGTGTAAGATGGGTTTGCTGGATTGTATCTGGCCTCAGAATTTTGTAAGCAGAACATTAATTTTAACAACAGTGTTCTTTAACTTCTTCCTATCATATTGGTCATGGATATGCAATGTTCTTGCCCTCCTTTCTCCCCAAATCTGTAACCACACCAATTAGTTTGCTGCAGTGGTTGCCGAGTTTCATCCCAGAGGAATTGGGAGTGAGGCTCCAGTCACGTGCACCTGCCTGACAAATTATACATACATGTGGTTGTTCCTGATTTGAACGTAGGCAGTGCTTAGCCATTTGCCCAAATACCTTGTCCTCTAAGTGAGAAGCGCTAATTATTTATTCTCATCAGCCATTGCCTCACCTGTGGCAGGGGAGCAGAAGGTTGCCGGCCATACGGGTTCAACGAGGGAGAGGTGTAATAGAATCTCGAGCCGGGTGGGGACTTGGGGATCACCAAATCCAGGGCGCCCCTGTGATATCATTGCTGGGAACACGGTTTCCGGTTTCACCACCACAGTCAGGAAGATTTTGTCTACAATATGATTTATTTGTTAACGAATAGCTGGTCTTCTCCTCTGTTTTCTCTCTTGACTATAAAAGATAGAGTTTCTGGAGAGTGCGGTGACTGGTGACAGTACTGGGAGTCTTAACGAACTCAGGGTGCTTTCTGTGGTTAAGTGAGTCATTCCCACTGCGGACGGTGGGGGGACTGTTCCTTCTGGAACACCACTAGACCCAGTCTGGGCACGTTGCATCCGACATTAAACCATGTCTCACCACAACCCTAAAGACACCCCTTTCTCCCAGGAGATGCCCCTGTCCCCGATCATTGCTTCCTCTGGTTGCTGCACCGCACGGCCCGTGACTTTCGCATACTTCGTGACATATAGTTTTATTTAGAGGACAAGTTAAGAACCAGCGGCACTGATGCAGGAAGACGGGTGTTGAACTGCAGGGTGATCTAGAACCTTTATATTCCTTCTCTAGGTGCTTTTCTTTTCTTCTCGCCCTCTCCTTCACATGCTGACTTAACAGAAAACCCCCTAAACCACATCCTATGTAAGAGAGGTGGTTACTTTTCTGCCTCATAACAAGGGGTCCAGACCCAGGTCACTTCTAGCTTTCTCCTCTTTCCGCCTCCTACCCGTGCATGATAACACAGCTGCCGGGGCACCAGCCATCACACACGCCTTTCAGCCATAAAGAAGGGGCAGGTGAGGGCAAAAGACTTGAGCCAGACAAGTCTTTTTTTTTTTTTTTTTTTTCCCCAAAGCGCTTTCTTGAAAGCTTCTTTCAGCAGCTTCATCTTATGGACCAGGCTGTGTTATACAGAGGATTCATAAAGAGACATGTGCAATTTTTTTGCTAGGCACATAACTACCTTCAGAAAAAGCAAGGTTCTGTTCCTAAGGGAGAAGGAGAGATATACATCAGGCAGGCAGACATAACAGTCTCTGCCGTCCTTTCTCTCAGTAAGCATTTTGAGGGTGCCTGCTCACACTTG